AAAGCATTTCACCTGGGTAATGGTAACACCACTCTTAGGAGCTCAACAGCCCGGAAACTCTGAAAGGCTGCTTCTGGGAGGGGAGTAATTACGATGCCCGCAGCCATCTCACCTCATGCTGGGATCCCGCACAACATAACAAGCAATGGAAATGCTGCCTTTCCCGCTGGTTTTCGACAGGCTCCCAGAGAAAGTGGTGCCAAGGCAAGTGAGAGAAATTCTGGACAGTAGCGGATTGTTTGATAAATTTCATCCTGGATTCAGCCACAGCCATGCTACTGAGGCTGCCCTTGTCAAAGTCATAAATGGTTTGAATGCCGCTGCTGAAAAGGAAGCCTGGCCTTGTTTGTACTATCAGATCTAGCCGTGGGGGGGTTATTCTGTAAAAGGCTGGATTCTGTTGCAGTGCCTAGGTGACTGGCTAGTGTTGACTGAGAATGCGTTGAAATGGTTCCAGCAGTACTTGATTGCTTTCCCCAATCATCGTAGTAGGGTAAATTCTCCTCAAGAGCAGCCAGTTTCACATAATGACACTTGATCCCAGGGAGAATTCACCAGCGGCCTGACTTAGTTGGCGCTGATGCTTTACACTCTTTCTCTTGCCTTTCAGAGAGATATATGAGATGCATTAGAGCAGTGTATTAGAACTCCTTTTTGGCTTTGTTGAAGAGGACTATATTTCTAAAAGCACCAACAATCAGATATTCAGAAACAAAAGACTTTCTTGTGCAGTCAAGACTACTAACAGAGATAAAACACATTTCTACCTGTTAATTTGAAGTCAGAATTCTTTTTTTTTTTTTTTTTTTTTTTAAAAGAGGTCTGAATTATCTTTGTAAGTCTGGAGTGACAGTGCTGATGTCAGTAGACTTGTAAATAACTTACAAGAAGAATTTGAATCAATTGTCTGAAAACCAGAAATCACTGAATAACATTCTTTGGGACTTCTGTTTACATTCATGACCAGTAAGCCCAACAAAGAGATTCCAGTGCTGCTTCTGCTCCTCATAGCCACTCCAGTTCAGCCAATATCCTGGTACCGTTTTAACCCTGTAGAAATTTTTCTATTCCCTCTCTTCTCAGGCTGTAGCAAGGCTGTGATCTGCAGGGGGTTTGCAAAGTTGAGACCAAAGACCTGAAAAGGGTTTTAACCACAGACCTTTCTGAGTCTCTTCAGTGGGAAAACAGATTTGCTTCTCCTCCAAATGCCTCTCATCAGTAGCACACAGTATCTGAAATTAGCATACAGTGAGATTGCCTGCAAATTTTTCAGTCTGAGATTATCACCAATGTAACTAAATAAGCCAAGCTACAGAGGAAATTTGGATGAACCTTCATGTTTGTAACAGGGATGGCTTCTTGGTCACCAAGTCACTGTAACTTCAGAGTCTATAACATCAGAATAAGATTAACAATTTTTTGTGACCTTCATAGATACAAAATGTGCAGTATGCAAAAGAGCTATCCTGAATAATTAATTTATGCATCAGTTTTCTCATGTGACTTCATACATCCACGAGCTGAGGCAACCTCTTATCTTCAAGAAGCCCATAGAAGAGGCGTTTTTTATATTTTTTCTACTTCATGGCATAATAATTTAAACTATTTTGATACTAAAATGATATAAGAAATTTATACAATGTACAAAACCATACATTGAATCTATAGGACATTTTAGCTTCCCATTTTCACCCAATGTGCACATTAGTTATCTGAATATAAAGGTTATTAAGATGTAGTGATAAATTGAAAAATGGTATTTCACAGATTGAATGAAGATACCAGAATTTGACTTGGCATGTTTATTAACACTATTGAAAAAGTTCTGTTTAAAAAGCTAATGGTTCTCTATTGATTTTACCCCAATGCATCTTAATTTCTGTTAGGCATCCCCTGATTTCTAAATCAGTTTTGTATTTTTCCCATGGAAATACCTAAACATTCATATGGAGAATATATATATGCTTTGTTTTAAAATAGCATTTTAATAGCTTCTCTTTTTTATATGAGACTTCACAAACAACAATTGGACTTAGTACAAGCTGATGACTTCGGTTTTTGTGTTACACTTAACCCACCCTGCAGCAGGGCCCTCAAAGCAGGCTTCTTGGTTCAGTAACATTCATGTTCGTGCTAATACCCCCATTGCTAATCATAACTTGGGAGAATAAAACCTGCTGCAAGTTGAAAATCATTTTACAATTAACTTATAAATAAGTCCACCATAATTACATTGTGTTATCTCACATTGGTTTTACAGCGTCTTGCCACGCTTCAAAGAAGGAAATTAGGCATACAGTGCTGGGTGATGTTTAGGACGGAATGTTGCAAAGGATGTATTTTAATGGCCTGAGTTTGAAAGGCTCAGGTAAAGGTTGATCCCTTTGAACATTTCAGATAGATGAGACCACTGGTTTGTTGCTCTGCCCTGCTTTGCTTTTCTGTACTTCATGGCAAACCATCTTACCTACGTCATTGCACAAGACAGAGATAGAACATTTTTTTAAAGAATTCGTTCTGTGTTTCTGAAAACACAGATATTTTTCTGTATCTAACTAACACTGTTTCATTGTGTAATATTTCATAATTGACCAAGACCAAATTCAAATTATTCTTATTATTAAGATAATATTAGCATCTTGTTGGGCACCGGAAGTATTTGCAGCTGCAGTAGGTTATGAAATCCTGGGACACAAACCTGTCTTTAGTCCCCTTGCTGACCTACTAAGTAGAGTAAACTGGGGTGAAATTTCACTCTGCAAAGAATAATATTTTATAGAAAAATGGAACAAAGTAACTGTTTTTCATATCAACAAGTTTTTTAGGACAGCAGTCATTCTAAATTAGCCAGACTTTGAATTTCATTTCCATCTAGTTATATTTAGCCTTTCTTCTCTTCAAAATAAGGTTGACTAACCTTCTCTGATACAATTAAATGTCCTTAAAACAGTATGCACATCAGTAGAAAGAAACAGACAAAGTAAACACACTACCAAATAGCCTTGTGTTTTTAAGGAAGTTATGTGGCTATCCTCTTCTGTCAATTGGCTCCTCTGTGCCCCCACTGATCTCAGTTATGAATCTGAGTATTTTCTTACTGCTATAAGCAAGAATATTCTACTCACCCATTCCTCTGACTTCACTTTTTAGATCTGCATGTTCTCTGGGTGACACAAAACATTTTGTTAAACACACGTGCAGAGAAATCCCGATTTCAAGAAAAAAAAACTACTTACAAATGTGGACTGGTTTGGACTGGGATAGAATAAATTTTCTTTGTAATATCTGCTGTAGTGCTCTGTATTAGATCCATAACCAAAACAGTGTTGATAATACAGAGATGCTTTAGTATTGTTGAGCAGCACTCGCACAACAAGGCCTTTTCTGCCTCTCACCCCACCACACCAAGCAGGCTGGGAGTGCACAAGGAGTTGGGAGGGGATACAGCTGGGAGAACTGACCCCAGCTGACCACACCATATGGTGTCATGCTCAGCCAGAAAGAGCTGGGGGAGGAAAGAGAACAGGGGGTCGTTCAGAGTGATGGCATTTATCTGCCCAAGTCACTGCTAAGCACATTGAAGCTCTGCTTTCCGTAAGATGGCCTTTGTCTCAGTGCACAAGTTTTCTTACTTTTACTCTTCTACGCTTTTACTCTTTTGATTCTCTCCCCCATCCCACTGGAGGGACATGAGTGATTAGCTGTGTGGAGCTGAGCTGCCTATCGGAGTTAACGTACAACAGATTGCTGAGTGGCAATAATACTGTATCGTTTACAACACCAAGCACTTAAAAGCATGAATGGTAAAAACATCAGAACTCAGACTACTCAGGAATATCTCATTTTCTTTAGATAAGGACAAAGGTATGATACTCTAACCAATACTGAGAAAACTGTTTTGCAAGGCAAAACTTCCCTCTCTGAGAGAGAGGAAGATGTGGCATTAACTACAGTATAAGCTGAGAAGAACCAGGACAAGTTTTAGCTGAGTAGAGAAAGAAGGAGGTCACCTCCCACGTATATGAGACTGGAAGAATCTGCAGGGTCAGGAAAAGTGAAGACTTTTATGAGAGGCAACAACTACAGATGCAAGGTTACAGTCTGAAATGACCTGGCAAATGGCTGTTCTCCACAATGACTGAGAAAGGTGCCATTAGGAGAGCTTGTAAGAGGAGATGACAAAATTTGCTTCAGCCACAAGGAGTTCACTAAGGTGGTGTGACAAGGAGACATCAGTTTGTTTTCAGTTTGAATGGGAGTGGATAAATCTGGATCACAAATGGACTTGTGAATTTCAGGACAGAGAGAGGAATTGAATTTGTGCCCTGCAGGTCAGATAGGTTCAGGAAGAGATGGAATTTCCAAGATCTGTTTGAGGAGAAATCAATGGAGAAATTGGCACTAGGAACACCAACGGATTGGCAGCAGGCAGCCCAGCACTGAGTCAGAGATGAACTCCAGGCAGCAAAAGTAAACAGCGCTCTCAGCATGCTTACAGATAAGAGGGAGAAGAGTGAGAGGGTAGCTGTGGAGGCAAGCAGGTTCAATGTGTGTTTTCAAAGTGGAGAGATTAAACACACACTTGTTTTGAGAGGAGGGTGAAGCCAAGGCAAATAACAATGTACAGAGAGGAATAGAAAAAGAGGTAAGCAGGCACCAGGGAGAAGACAGAATATCTTGTTCCGCTTAATGCTTATATCCGTTTTGCAGATCAGAACTGCACTAATTTGGGAAGCAGTTTATATAATCCATAAAAATGCATTTTATTAGCTTCTTTTTTTTTTTACTTTGAATCACTGACTTCTAAAGAATGAGAACAGCCATAAATGCTATTGTCTCCACAGGCAGCAATTTGAAAATAGAAGATCCGTGGCTACACGATAAGTTTATTTTGTTCATAAAAAATATTTGCAAATCAGGTTTAAAATAAGGAAAAAATAGCTTTAAAATATTCTGCACTTCAGAAAATAATAAAATGTCTTCTTATTTTCCCCTGGTAGGCCACGCAATGCAGATTACTTTATGCAGGAAGCTAAACGGAAGAAGCATAAAGCAGATGCAATGGTGAGAACATTTTCTTTCCAGTTACATTGCTGCAAATTATTTTTGTATGCACTTTCTTCATCAGCGCAGTATTGCTGGGGTAATTATAAAATCTATTATAAGGATGGCTAGGCTTGTTAAATTAAGAAATGTTTATATAATCAAATGTTCATAGCCCAGTAAACTATGACTTAACAAATAATGACTTACTGAGATAAAGGCCTGGATAAATAAAACTTTCCGTTTATCCCTTTGCTTTAATTAGTAACTATAGTAATGGAGGCTGTGTAAGGGATCCACATACCTATCTTCTCAGTTTAAGTAGCTGACTAGGTCCTATAATTGCATCCCCAAATCTGATCTGGTGGCTTTTTTTAAAAGAGTTTTGGCTCTTCAGTGCCAGAAGAACCCTGGTTTCGTGGCAGATGTTTTCTGGACATAATCAGAAGCACACAAGGAATCTGTGCAACCCTAGAGGAACACCTAGCACACAAAGTTCTGTTGCAACAGACAGATTCTTGGCTCTGGCTTTGTCTAAAAATGTAGCCAGCATGAAAAAGGGGAATCTGAGATTATATGGAGCACGAAACTTGTCTTTCCAAACAGATCGGTGCAACAAAGTATACAGGGCTCCAGGAGAGCTCTGCTTAGCTGTCCTTCAGCTTTCTCCAAGGCTGTGTTCTCCAGCACCACGGATAAGCCAGTGACATGAGGTCTCTGGGATGGCAGTATATGGAGTGGAACCCTGCATTAGTGTGGCTCTCTTGCAGGTGGGAGTAGCTGCCTTCTCACCTTGCTCTGTCAGACAGACACTCTGCTGTCAGAGCATCAGGAAAGAAGAAAGGTGGCTCAGAACCTCTGTTTCTTCATCTCTTTTTTTCTCAGCTGTGCAGAATGTAAAAAGGCCATGGAAGCAGAAGCAGGCCCTTAATTTAGGACACTAACACCGAGTTTTACACTCTACCTGAGTTTATTAGCACGAATTTCCATGGTTTATTCAGTTCCATATTACTTTAAAGTGAGTCTTAAATCAGAAAATATTGTGGAGAAGTACAAATAGTGCCTTTTAGTGTGTTGCTTTAAACAGAATGGAAAAGATCACTTAATATGCAAAGGAAATTCTTAGCCTGGAGAGAAATGTTTTTATGGTAGACTCCCAGAAAAAGGAGTTGCAAGCATTATTCTCTGCTCTGCCAGAAGTTTCCTGCAGAAAGTCACCTAGACACAGTTCGAATAGCCTCCTATCAGTATTAGGTGGTTGAAATATCCTCCACGTTCAGCTTCCCTATACAGTGGACCAGCACCTTACTTACATCTTGTGATTGCCCTTTGCAGGTACTTCCAATTTCCCTCTCTGGATGTGTAGGCATCCCAGAGGAAATGCCATATTGCCAAAGTGCCTTCAGGCACTTTGAATCACCTTGCTGGGCTCAATACCACCTACTTTGGCACTGCATTACTTAACACAGGCACTTAGAGTGAGCAGCCTGAAAATCTCTCTAAGTCTCTCTGCTCCTCAGTCCCCCATCTGTGAAATTGGGATAATAGCACTTCCACCCGCACTGGAGCATCAGGGAGAGAAATACAATAAAAAGTTTGTGAAGTTCTCCGGTATGATCGCAATGGGAGTCATATAAGAACCTAAAATAGATTGAAGCCAGTGTGCCATTCCGAAGTTGCTATTTAAAAATCTTTATCCCTTGGAAAAGAATAAGGTCCATTAACCTTTCACTGTGTGCATCAGATTTCAGCCAAATACATCCAGTCCATTAATGGGCTTTATGTACCGCAGGAGTTCTGACTGAAGGAGAAAGAAGTCAGGACAGAGAGGTTTTAGTGTGATTCTCCTTTCACACCAAAAATGAAATTCTGAGAGCAGATAAGTGGTATGTAAGTGCACACATATGGGCATTATGTGCATATTTGCATATACACTGTCACTGAGAACATATATACGCACATATATATGCCTATAAGCACACAAATACACACACGGAGTCAAAGAAGTACCAAAAATAGGAGAAAAAATGGGACAAGGAAGGAGGATTAGAAGATGCCGAGGGAGCAACATATCCTCCTGAAAGAGGAGGATACAGAAAGCAAATTCCTGACAAGAGGAGAGCAGTGCTGAAAATGGTAGGGATAAAGAAGACAGGATAACAGAGATAAGCCTTTGTATATGAGTTAGTAGTCAAAGGATTTAATTCTCTTAGTTCAGAGTTTCATTTACCTTTCTTTGTTGGGTGACAAAAAATTGCATCTGCAAAGATGTGTGAAACCCTTTTTAATGAAAGCTTGAACAAAAGGCCTGATGAGTTTGTGGAATTTCCAGCACTGGAAGAGCTTTGACAAGCACTTGTCAGGAATGTCCTAGGCAGACCTGATCCTTCTTTGGACACAAAAGTGTTGAACAAATAATATCTCAGAGCTTTTTTCAGCTCTGCTTTCTGTATCTTCTGCATGATTTTCACTCATGCACAGGGTTTGATGGGTTTTAGCTTTCTCCCAGAAAAAATTGTGAATCTGAAGATATACCAACTTGTGTCAAGTTTACGATTTATGTTGAGAAAATCCCATGAAATGTAAGCACATCTTGATGATTACACTATTTCTCTTTGTCCTTATTTTTCCCCTCTAGGTGGAGAAGTTTGGAAAGGCACTGAATTATGCAGAAGCAGCGCTATCGTTTATTGAGTGTGGAAATGCAATGGAACAAGGCCCAATGGAATCTAAATCCCCTTATACCATGTATTCAGAAACAGTTGAACTCATCAGGTAGGAAAGGGAGGAGATGATCTCAGGGGTTACTCTGTGCAAACAGTCATATGTAATGTGTATGTATTATCTGTGATTTCTTTGGAAATTAAATCAGGAAACTCTGAAGAATAAAAAAAAAAATAAACAAACAAACAAACCAAAAAAAACCCCAACAACAACAACAACAACAACAAAAAAAAAAACGGCACCCAAATATTTTCATATTACTTGAGTTGCAAATTACTTCAAGAGTTTCATGATGTAAGTCCCAAGCTACTGAATAGAGAAAAATAGTAATCCATAACAACAAAACATTCTCCTGGAACAGTAGTTTGAAAAATGCTGCAATGTGTTTAAGATTGCTGTTTAAAGGTTACCTGAAAGAAGATGTCAACAGGGATAGAAAAATGAACACTCGAAGTCCACTTGGTGTGTATGCTCCTTATGTAGCCACTGGAGTCCCAGAAGCAGCCCAGCTCACCCTAAAGCCAAGTCCTACTTTTAGTCAACTTCATGGTTCTCCCAAACAGTACAGTGTAGAATTCTGTCCCATCCACAGTCCCTAAGAAGAAGATATGTCTCTAAAGTCCTTTTCTCCACTATAGTTGGTACTAACAGTTAACATTATTGGCAGTGCTGGTGGAGAAAGCAAAGGTCAAAATCATCCCAGCAGCTGAGGGACTCTCTGCAAGAGAGTGACACACTAGCAGAGGAAGTTGCACTGCCAGTGACCATGGCATCATTCCTCAGGACAGTCAACCATGCAGCTCTCATCAGGATTAAGTTCATAGGAAGTAACGTATTTTCATTTTTAATTATGTTCACAATGAATCAAAGCTTCTAAAACAAATGCATTATTTTGGACCTAGTGTTGATGCAAAGATTTTATTGCATGTTAATAATTCCACTTAGGGCTGTCTTCTGATGCATTTCAGTGGACTGAGGCCAGCTTTCTAACTAGGAGGTTATTGAACAAAATCAAATAGGTTTTTTTCTGTAAGAGAATAGTACATTCCATCTCTGCAATTCTTCTTTTTCCCATGTCTGCAATTCTTCTCTTCTTTTTTTTTCAGAAGGCAGAAAACTCTTTCTTTGTCTGCCCTGTCTTTTCTCGTAGTAGTAAATATATGATCCTAACTCTGGAAATGAATTTTGCTTGCAGATCCATAGCTTTCAATAATATGTGTAGCTGTGGTTGGGTTGTAGTGTGAATTGCTGTTGATCTCAGTTTCTGCAGCTCAGAAAAATAAGTGGTTTGCTAGGTATGCCTGTAGAAACAAAATGTTCATACTGAATTTTGGCACAGATATCAGGATTAAAGTCTGAAAGCAAAGGTAAGAAAAAAATCACAAGCAGCTAATTATGGGAAACAGGTATTTTTCTGGAAGTGAGCCCAGAAGCGCTCTGTGTGTTGTCCTAACCTTGTCTGTTGTTCAGGCATTCAGCTGGAAGCTGAGATTTCCAGAAACCAGTTTGTGATTGCATAGCACATACACTCTTGAAACAGCAGTGCTACCTCGGTGGATGTTTAATATTTATAGAATTTGAGTGTAATGTCATATGAGCAAAAATAGCTCTGAGCCACATGTTCCCCCTATGCTGTGCTCTGCTCGGAGGAGCAAATCTGGGTAGACACGCTCAGAACTGGCAGGGTGAGGTCAGCACCAGCTTCCAGGCAGGCTGTCTGCCTTCAAATGCTCTGAAAACCTTTCTGTGTGAACTCTGTGTAACTGGGTCTCCACAGCAGTGGAGGTTATTTTGGTAGGACAGTGTCACCTCAGCAGCTAGGCTCCCCTCTGGACTGATGGATGTTCAAGGGAGTTACTGCTGTTCAAAGACTGCAGGGAGGCAGGCTAATGGCAAAAGAGCTCTGAAACACAACCAGAAGAAACACATGTATGTCTGGTAACTTAAGCAAATATGTGTAAGGGGGCAGACCAAATTACATTGGCCAGCTTAGCTCTCTGATCAGTAATATAAAGCTGTCTATGTTAACTCATGTTGGCTTCTTCCCTTTTCCTTAAGGTATGCAGTGAGACTAAAAACCCACTCAGGCCCCAACGCCACGCCAGAAGACAAACAGCTGGCAGCATTATGGTCAGTAGATCAAGCTTTCCTCAAAAGGCTTCTTTTCTGCAGTGAGCCAGTTCTTGAAAATCAGATGCTGGACAAAGCCAGATAAAATTATGTTCTCTATTGAAATTAAGATAATACTTTCTGCTCTGGGAAGGTCCAGCCCTTGTATCACTATACCAGGTCTGCATTCTGTCTCTGTAAATAAGCAATTCATACTTATTTATTGACTGTGACAGGTTGGCTATGGTATGTCAGTCTAATTAATTTTTAAATGCCTGATGGTTTGTTGTTTTTATGAGTGATGTACTTTTGTACCAATAGCTCAGTAAGTTCTTTTGTGGTTGACACTTTAGGCTCAATAATCATAAATTATATTTATATTATATGGAGGGCAATATGGTGATGGGGATAATTAAGCCTCTTAGATTATCTACTAAATTGAGTTTTTTAGATATATATGTAAGCACCTTAGATTCTATAGGATGGTTGCTGATTGCTAGTAAAGTACTAGAATGTTATTAAAATCAAATTTTAATTTAATATCTATGTAGTTAATACATAAAATACCTATTACATGGTTAGTGATTCTCAGTAAGTGGACATTTACAATCAGCAAGTGTGTTTTTAACATCTATTAACCATCTGTTAAAAATCCAAATGAAATGCATCTTTAGCCTCCATAAATAAGGAACCCTAATTAATCATTTGTATAAAAAGGAACCGAAATATTCAGAGATACCTTTTTTTTTTTAATGCCCTTTCTCAGTCACTGGTTTGCTGTGTCATCGGCGGGCACACAGAATGCGTTAATGGTAACTGCTTTAAAAACGCTTAGGTGGGAAAATGACTAAAGAATGGTTAAAAACGAATATTTAAAGCCGTATTAGGAAGGCTTGCTGAGAACTGCTGGGGCGCTTCGGTGCGTGAGGAGCCACATCCAAATTCAGGGAGCTGCTGCATCTGTTTCAGCAGCAGAAAGGTCAGCGCGAGGGAAAGCAGACGGAGCCTTCTCTGGGCGATGAATGGCAATCTTAACTCACCGTCTGCCAGCCAGCAGATGAGCTGACACTATTTGCATATGTGCTGTACCTGTGAAGGTGACAGAGGGAGAGTGATGGTGGAGGCTGCGAGGCCGCCGCATCCCCCGGCTGCTCCCGGCGCCCGCCGGGCAGGCTGCCAGCCCGCCCCGCTCCCGGCCCCGCTTCTCCTGGGGAGACACTGTCCTCCAGCGGCCACAGCCGGGATTTCACCGCCCGCTCTCAGGACGGGAGCCAGGCAGGCTGAGCAACCCCTGGCTGGCACTGGTTTTTTTTCAGGAGCAATTTGCTAATTCGTGGGGTTCACTGAGGTTTGAGCAGCTCCAGGGCTCGGGGAGGTGGAGAGAGGTCTGCTCTTTCAAACTCAAGGCACCTTCTGCTGCTCCGGGTTGGCTCCAGGACTAAATACTGTTTTTAAAAATAAGGCCTCTGATGCTAAAGAAAAAGTAAAACGCACTAGGTTTTTGCTTTGAAAGTGGTGTTACTGTGGGGCATTGCCACGCTTGCTAATCCATTTGGATTTCTGTGTAGGGGTCACCCCTTACCTTCTGCTCTCCCTTCTATTCTAGTTACCGCTGCCTGGCTCTTCTGTACTGGAGGATGTTCCGACTCAAGAGAGACCACGCGGTCAAGTATTCGAAAGCGCTTATTGAGTATTTCAAGGTGCATCACTTATGGCATGGGTTTAGATCAATGTGTCATTACAGGGGATAGAGCGTTCTACTGAACAGTAGCTGTGCTGGGCTGAGTTTTCCCCTGTGAAGTCAGTGGAGTTTTACCATAGACTCCCATGGCAACACCTGATCTCTAGTCGGTTCTGCTGTCTTCACAAAGGCCCCTCTCTGAAAAATACCTACTGTGTCCCTTCACAAGGGATGATAAATTTATTTTACTAACAGTTACTTTCAGATTATTCTTGGTCAACTGTCCTGCTCTGTTGCGAATAGGTTTTGCAGATTTTGCTCTGAGAATCCCCTCCAGGATAAGACCTCCCACTGGACTACCTATAAGTTGAAGACTTTGATTTAGATCAGTCCTCAGAGGCAGGGCTTCCACTTAGCAGGATCAATAGGTAGGACAGTGCAGTGGGACCATCTTCTTACCCAAGCAACTGTCAAACAGCCCAAACTCCCACCCCTGTCTTCAGTGGGAGTTGTACAGAAGCATCAGAGGGCAAAAAGACCACCTGGCATGTACTTGACAGAGCATTGTTGGCTACTCCTTCCTACTTTGCCTCCCCTTCACTTGCTTCTGATTTTTCACTCTCTGCCAAGTCCAAACACTGATTATTTGAAAAAGACCAGAAGTCCCTCAAAGTATTTTAATATATTTTGACAGGCAACCTTTCCCTGGAAAGCACATCAAGAGCAAAACCTTCCAGGTGGAGCTCACCTAGCAGTCAATCCGTCCAGCATTTGATGTACAAACACAGAAATAAGCCTTTATCATCCTAATTTTTAAAAAAAGTATGAACTTACAAGTACTTTAAGACAAACTGCTTTGGGGGACCTGAACAGTCTTTGAACCCAGGGCTCATCTAGTGGGGTTTTTTTGCAGACTGAGGAATCTTGAAATGAAAAACATCCATCCTTTGACATTTTGTTAATAAAAAAATTCAAATACAAGCACGAATGCTCATGATCAGATTCTGAACACATGAAGACAGTGAAAGGCTTGACAGATCCGTTATTGTCAGATAGAAATTGAAGTCAGTGTAATTGCTTAAAAAATTTCACAAGATATATAATTCAACACGTTATGTTTCTCTAACAATGACTTGATTTCAGGGGAAAGAAATATGTGCCTATTACAGTACTTTATTTTTCTTTACCAGTTCAGAGAATAGCTGCATTAAGAACAGGATGGTCAGGCTCTCAGCCATGTGAGATGTCTCCTACTAGGAGGCAGAAACTGTTTCACAGAAAACATGAAATGGACTTACACTCTGCTGTAGTCAAGAAGAGCTTGGTTTGTTTCAGAGCTCCTGCTGATATAATGATAGCGTAGTTTCACATTAGAAAGTATTCTCACCTTTGAAAGTAAAAATGGGGAAAAAAAAATCCATTTGCTATAATTTTCCGTGGAAAACAAGCCAATTCTCCACTCCTTTCGTATTTGGTATCTAAAAGCTTTCAAAACCAAGTTACATGAAATGCTGACTGCATTAAGAACTTCCACATATATTATCAAAGAGAGATTTTAAACCTTGTCACACACATTTGCAGGGAAAATTAGACACACTTTTCCTTTAGAAAATAAAAAAAATATTATTTAAATCTCCTTTCAAGTGTTTTATTTCCATTATTAAAAAAACTAATGCAGCAGAGAATTCAAAAGAAGGCACAGATATTCAGGGGGCAGGCACATTTGAGAGTATAAAGAAACCAGGAGAATGGTTAGCAGTAGGCAAAGTGGGATAAGAGATGGTCCCTTACAGCATTACACTGCTTTGAATCCTTACCCCTACCTTTCTGGTGCAGAACTAAGATAAAGCTGGACAATACACCTAAAACATGGGAAAAAAAGGATGGGGGGGAAGTTGTACAGTAAGGCAGGGTGGGTTACATGTACAGTGGAAGTATCCTTGACTCCATTTCGATTTCCATATTTTCCTGCCTTTGGCTCTGTAAGTATACTCAGTTTCAATTACACTAGAAAGAGGAAGGCCAGTAGCTCTGTGACAGATCAGAAAAGAAAGGGGGAAAAGAAAAGAAACTATTCTACAGGAAGAACAAATGCCAAAGATTCCCATATTGGTTCTATTTAGGATGGTAAATGAAAACTCTTCCTTTTCTTCTCATACATTAGCCTTCCTGCCAAAAAACAAAACAAAACAAAACAAAACAAACAAACAAACAAAAAACACAAAACAAAACACCAAAAGCTCACTTTTCCTATCATTTACCTGGGACATGGAAGGCCAGTGTCAAAATTCAGGAAGAATGCCAGGGCACACATGTGATCACTGCTGAAAGACAGCCAGTATTGGGGGTGCACATGGAAGATATGGGAACCCAAGAGGCAGTTCAGAGGTTCAGAGGACATACCAAAACTGAGACAACAAACATATTTGAAGAGAGGCTCAGGAGATATGTCCAGCTTAGTGCAGAACAGATTAAGAGAGGATATAATCATGGTGCATATGGAAGTGGAACTGATAATACCAGGTGACATGCAGTTTTGCTGGCATTGGACCAACAAAATCCAAAAAGTTAGGAAAATCCACTGAAGTTAGGAAAATTCAATCTTAAAACTGAGAAACTGTGTCTGTTTTTCTAACTGTGAGGCCTGCAAAACACTAAAACAGGACACAGGAGAACAAGAAGAATAAATAGTGTCTTAGGATTTCTATATGGCTAGCTGTCCCTTTTAAAAAGAATAAAATAAAGTCCAAAAGTAATTTAGCTTCTTGTAAAAGCTCCATGATTGCTGGAAAACAGAAATTGCAGACTACACGCCCTGAGGAATTACTCCTAGCTTGAAATCCATGAACAACTGAAGCCCCTTGATTACCATTTTTCCTTCCTAAGCCATGAGAGACCAAGAGTTTCTGTACTGCTGTTACTGCCTGTAACTCCTGCAGTTTTCAACACCTGCAGCCTTGCATTTAAAACAATATCCATAAACAGGTCTCAAACTGCAGGACTTGGCCTGTTCTCCCATGGATGTCAAGAAGGGAAGGTTGTTCTCCAGCACACAATCACCTGCATGTATGGTTTCAGGGGAGAGTGCAAGGAGGTCACTTTCCTCTGAAGGATCAAAGCCTGGCCATTGCTGAATATAAGGCTGTGGATGGGACGGACTAGAAAAGTTTGGTTTCTTAGACTTCTGGTTTTTACATCCTTCAGTCTCACAGGCCCAGGATTAAATCAGTCACTGGACTTGGGAGAGGGGAGAAGTTTTTCCACAGGTCAAATGGGCAGGAACCTGCCAGTAAATTCCCCTCAGCTCTCCCAGGTTAACTACTAGAATCATTTTATATATCCAGTCCATTACTGCTGATAGCTGAATTTCTCCTGCTCTGTGTGTGCAGTGCTTGTACAAGGTGGTCTCTCCTCAAGCGATGAAATTCTTTAGTCTAAGGAAGTATATCAGATAAGAGTCTTAATGATTCTAGTATACACTAAATGTTCTAACGTCCCTTTCTGGGGGGGAATCCTTCAGCTAGGAAAACCACCGGTGTACACAGGCAGTCTCTTTGACCCTGTGAATGCTGCTGTGTTCAGACCAAGGGAAAACAGCTCAAGAGGAGAAATCATGAGGGAGATTCTTGAGCCTCGTGGTTAGAACAGCTGCCTGAGCTGAGGGAGCCTTGATTCACAACCCTGTGGTCAGCAAAGCTGAGCAGACTTGCAGTCTTGAAGGTCCTAAAGGAATGACATTTGTCACTGGGAGCAGGAGAGTGGGAGGAAAGCTTTCTGATTTTCTCCATCACAAGAAATTCCAGCCTAAACTTCACAGAGTCCTTACGGCACTTTTCTGAATTCCCAAGATTTCTGTGGAAAGGTTCCATTTCAGCTAATGTGTTTTCCTAATCAGCCCCTATCCCAGGATGTTTAATAGACTCTGATTCAAGTGTTCTGCAGCAATGCTTCATCACAACACCAAACTAGGCTGACTGGGTTTATTGCATCATGAGAAGCAATTGCCTCATTTTCGTTATATTTCTGTACTTTTATGCTCTTTAATGTTTTCATTTTGTAGTCTTATATAAATTATATGCATTGTGAATTACTCTTTCCTTCCAGAATTCATCAAAAGCTGCCCAGAACCCATCTCCTTGGGGTGCCAGTGGAAAGTAAGTTGCACAGAAACTTACCTCAGATTGGCAGTCAGAAATCATATTTTCTTACCTGCAGTATGTTCTGATACTCTGGTGGTTTTAATCCCAACACCTTTTAAATAACTGTATTAACATCTGTTTCCAGGAGCACAGGAACTCCATCACCTATGTCCCCCAACCCATCTCCAGTCAGCTCTGTAGGATCCCAGGGGAGCACAGGGGCCCCTTCCCCATCTCCTATCATCAGCATTCCTCAGCGCATTCATCAGATGGCCGCCAACCATGTCAGCATCACCAACAGCATCCTGCACAGCTATGACTACTGGGAGCTGGCTGACAACTTGGCCAAGGAAAACAGAGGTGAGCAAGGCAAGGCAATGGACTGTTTTAGAAGACTGTGACATGATTTGGGTCAGGAAAATAACTACTTTGATACGAAACCTGTCTGCAAAGTAGGGATGCAGAGGTGTTCTTCTCCTTCGGTCTGTTCATAGTCTGTTCCAAAGCAGCCCAAAAAGGCAATTTTGATACCTGTCTCACTCAGAAGAATGTAATTTTTTCCTTTATTTGGGTGGCCAGGACTTGTGACAGACAGGTCACAGACATTGCTGTGAGTATCACTCACTGCCATCTGTGTCATTCTGGAGAGAAAGAGCTTCTTGCCCCCAGAGTCATGGACCTGGATGGGATATATTTAGCCAGAGCATGTCAAAAAACAGGAGAACAATTTCTTTCTGCAGAAGAAATGAACAGCCACTCACCCTCTCCCCATCCAAAGCAGACACAAATGGCAGTGACACAAATCCCCCTTCAGTGCAAACTTCTCTTAGCTGGACTGGTTTCCATGAGCACATGCCTCAGCATCTGAGTTGATGGTAAATTATTCCCTGGTTTTCAGGATAATTTATGTATTTAGGCAGGGACAAGGGCAGGATTCAAGTCAAAACAGTACACCTAAGTGTAGGTGTGTATAAATGAATTGGGGGGCTCATCTCCCATTGCAGTTGATGGAGCTTTGATCAATACAAGCATCAGAGTTCAGAGTGCTGTTCAGTTCACCCTGAAGGGGAGACAGAGATATAATCCACGTGGCTAACCACAGCTGCCCAGTGCCATTTGAGGTGTCCGTACCTGCACCACCACTCTGTCTCCTGTGCATCCTATGTGAGATCTCCAGTCCAGGCTGCCTGAGAATATGGGCATTACATGCCTCTAAGCAGGCAACTGAACTGTGCATATCCATGGCATGGGGGTTTGAACTGGGTGATCTTTAAGGTCCTTTCCAACCCAAACCATTCTGTGATTCTAAGTGCCTAGGGTTTAGTTAGCCAAATTACTCCTTAGGCTGGGTTGACCATGTTGTACAGGCCTCTATTTCTCTGTCATGGTAGCTTAAATATCTAGCATATCACATATATATCATTAGACACTTGTGTGTAGACTTTTTGATTTAGTTGTCCCTAATCTCAGAATAAATCTTGCCCAGCATCTGTTTGCTTTATCAAGACTCAATGGAAATTAATGAAAAGCAAAGCTGAAGAACTGACTGTTTTGTTCTTTAAAAAGAAAATTGTTGTGCATCAGCCTGTAACATCATGAACCACGGCGCTTTAAAATTAATCTCACCAGCACTAAACTTTCATTCCCATGAAATGTTCAGCTTGACTCAATTTGCAAGAGAATAAAATCTATTAAAGGGTGACAAGTAGCAAATAAAGCTTCGCTCTTCTGATGCTGAATCTTTTTTTTTCCCTGCAGATTTTTTTAACGACTTGGATGCATTGATGGGACCTATCACCTTGCACAGCAGTATGGAGCATTTAGTTCAGTACACTCAGCAAGGACTTCACTGGGTGCGGAATAGTGCTCACTTGTCATAATGACTGCTTGCCATTCACATGGACAGTATACCTTTCATGGATAATTCAGTTATTCTGGACACTGTGCTACAGAAATAGTCAGCCACAGCATTGATCCAAACAAAGGTGAATATTTCTTCAATATCGCGTAAAATTTTTCTGACTGTAGACATGTATGTGTGCAGCAGTACAATATACAATGATGTCTCTTCAGAATTAATTGTTCTGTATGGCTTTCCAAGCATTTTCATACTCTAGAAATACTATAAAGAACTGATCTTGATGCACAAAACATACCCTTTCTATTCTTGTACTAAAAAACTCAAAAACCAAAATCTCATGGGTTGATTGAACCGAGTGCAATAAGCACAGATCCCTCTTCAGGAAAGCTCAGAATAGATTCTTAACTTTAAGCTTGTACTGGAATCCTGATGACTTCAGCAGAGCTTAAAAGCACATACACAAGTGCTTTCCTGAACTGGAATGAATGAGGGCAAATTATAGACGTGGAGAACTTTCACTGCGAGCATGGACACGTCACAGAAGGTTCAGTATTAATGTGCCATCTCCCTGTTACTTCTCCACTGGAGCACAAAGAGGAGTTTTGTAGCCCCATTAAGTCGGACAAAGACGGCATTCCTTCATGTGCAATAAGTTTCAACAAATTGCATGCATTTCTTTATCTCCTGTCTTTTTAAGTAACTTTACCTCCCGTTCAGTTCCTCACCAACAGTACAACCTACGCTATCAAGCAAAAGGCCTGAAAACAGATACACTGATAGCAAGAACTTAAAGGAGACAGGGGAAAATTGCATTTTGTTGCTGACAGTAAATAGATAATGAAAAAATATGGCAAAAAGCAATCCACTTAGGAAAGAAAATGTGTTAATTTCAGCTGCACACACACAGAGACAGATATTTATAACAGTTGTTCGCTTTGTATGGGAAGGCTTCATCCTGCAGATTTTGACTTTCGTATCTTTTTTATCTAGCAGAAGCTTGCAGCATTTTCTTCCAAGCTGTATGGGAGCATTACATGCAATTTCCTTTATCGGGAAGCTGAGTTTGCTCCTCATCAGGCTAAGAACTGTTTCCTATCATAATCCTCTCACTCTCCATGCATAATCCTCAACTAGGCTTTAACGCTTCTTGATTTATGGGATGTTTTCAGTTCCTGTTGACAGGCTGTGTTTTTCATGCCAGAAGAACTAATCCCACAATAATTGGAATTTAATTTGGGTCAGCTGAGGTCAAGGCCAGTTCATATCAACTGTGCTTCCATTTTTGTTAATTTTTCAGTGATTTTCACGTATTTGGGGGGGGTGGGTCTGTATCGGAAATACAATTTTTTTCCAATCAGATTTGCAGCCTTTACTCAAATCATCATCTCCAGTGACTTCCAACGGACTTGTTCTTATCCAAGTCATTAGTTGGACCCTCTTATTATTGTTTTCAAATCTAATTTATTTACATAGTAAGGAATGTGAATACAAAAGACACTTTAAATAGAAGATACAAGCAGAAGTAGGTACTGATATAAACGGTTGATTAAATGGTCCTTGCTGCCTTTTTTTTTCCTCCCCCACTTTTGAAGAGCTGCATTTTGAAGAAAGATACCAAACATGCAAAATGCAGCATTATTTCTCAGTACAGTGTCTTTGGTAGCACAGGCTGTATGTACCCCATGGTAAAGAGTGGGCTGGTGAGCACCCTGAGCCCCACAAGCTGTGATTTTGGTGAGGCTGCTTAGTGTAACTCCAGCTATTGCTCAGGCTCAGAGCCTTCACTGTGTTCTTTGGAGCAGCTCAGCAGGGTAGCTACCAAGGAACTGCTCAGCCCTGACACATCCTGGGACAATATTTATGTGCCCATCAGTGCTCAGATACTTCCCCCACAAGAGAAATTTTGAGCTCGGCTGTGGTCACCTCTTAGCATGGACTTGAGTGTTAGAGGGTGGCTGGTTCTAAGAGTGAACAAGTACATGCCTTTAAATGACAAAATACACAGCCTCTGAGTCCTCCTTTCACTCTTAACCCTGGCTGTTACCCACCCCAGAAGGAACACAGTTTGTTTCATCACAAGTATCATGGAGAACTTGATCGGTGCCTTTCTGTTTATCACTTGCCTGATCTCCAGCTGTGGAAGTCTGTCAGGATTTACTAGACTAGTAGCAACGGATTCTGTCAGCTGTCTCAATACCATATGAAGGTACTGTGGGATTTCTCCTTAGATCAGGAAAGTGAAATTCCAATTAGATTAGCTTTTGTTTTCTTTGATGGTGCCTATGATGTTTATCTTCCGAAAATTTTGGGGTTTTGGGAGCCCTATCTGCTATTTAATGTAGAGAAATTTTAGAAGTGACATATATTACTTGCCTTAAATGGAGTTTAGTTTTCTTGCACATGTGGCATTTGAGTTTCAAATATGGAACTTTGAAGCACGTTTATTTTACTAAGATCGGGATATTTTTATTAATCATGATGAACTCTTTATATGTATATGATATGTCAAGAAACTTCAAAGAAATGAAAGAACTAATGCTGTTCTGTTGTAACATTTCCAAATATTAAGGATCTCTTGCAGATGATTGTCCTTTCCTGTAGGTTGTTATTATATTGAATTAATTTGGCTGAATACCCACTGTTCCCATGGAAAAACACACTGGTTTTTACTGTTTGTGCAGGCATCATCTGGGTTGTCTGATGAGCATGCTGAGCCTTAATTTCAGGTGGTTCAACAGGATGAATGGATTAGAGGGTTTGGCTTTCTCTCCATAGGGTTTCTTGCAGCTATACTATTTTGGTGAGGTTATTTAGAATACTCTTCTGTTCAGCCTTTTGCCTGAAGGTTGTGGCTGATTAGATGACTGAATGTGGCATGGTGACAACAAACACTTTTATTTGATCTTCTTAGGGCCTGGTCTGGAAAAGTGCACGTGACTTTTAGGTCTGGTCCAGTTAAGCATACGCTCCACCTTAAGAACCTGAATAATATTAAGCACTTCACACTGAGTCACTCAGTGTGTTCTGGATAGGATCAGAGGAGACCGTCTTTCTTTGGGGTTCCATGAAAAACAATAACTCATTTTAATCTATTGCAAAAGTCCGGGAATATGCAAGCTTCTTTGTGCCGTAGCAATGTTCAGGTTCGTTTTGAGAAAGTAAGAAGTCATTCTGTACAAATCCATAAGAATCACAGAATCACAGAATATGCTGAGTTTGAAAGGACCCACAAGGATAATCGAGTCCAACTCTTAGCCCTGCACAGGACACCCCAAGAATCACACCATGTGTCTGAAAGCATCGTCCAAATGCTTCTTGAGCTCTGTCAGGCTTGGTGCTGTGACCACTTCCCTGGGCAGCCTGTTCCAATGCTCAACAGGGTGAAAAGACCTTTTCCTGATATGCAACCTAAACTTCCCCTGACTCAGCTTCATGCCATTTCCTCAAGTCCTGACACTGGTCACAGGAGTGAAGAGATCAATACCTGCACCTCAAAGTCCCTTCATGAGGATGTTGAAGACCACAATGAGGTCTCCCCTCAGTCTCCTCTTCTCAAGATCATGCCTGTAGGGAAGAGTTTGCTTACAAACAGAGGCTCCTGAAGCAGTAAGGGTTGGTAAAGAAATGGATTCAAAGGAACCATGTGTTGCAGGTGGATGTGACAAATGCAGAACAGCCTATAGGATCCTCACAGAGAGCAAGATCATACAGACCCCTTGGCCTTAATCCTTTACAGTATTCCATGGTGGCATGAGAGACAGGTAAGAGCAAAGCATATGCAGAAGTTCAAGTGTGGTCAAAAGTCAGACATGTCCTCCCTGCCACATGACAGGATACCCAAACCCCTGGTTTGCCTATTCCTTTTGTCCAAATACCACAGGGGTGCAAAGGAAGAGATTATGGTGAACAGAGGACCATAGGTAAAGGAGGTTAAGAAGATCAAGCCCTTAGTGTAGATACACCTATGTATATACTGTAAATCTAAATAGTAATAAAAGTCACTTGGCATGAAGGATATGACTAGTGCCTACCATTGATCATCAAGTACTCATCACTGAGCAGCCATATCACCTCAGAAGTGCAGTAGCTGTTGTCAAAATAATTTGTGTAGCTAATTAATTTATACGAAATGCACCTTTGGGACTGTGCCATAGTATCTCTTTTGTAATACAAATGTTCAACCATTTTTCATGGCTACTGATTCAAATCTACATCACTGAAATGTCAGGATATCTTTTCTTCCCTAGATGAGAACATATACTTAGACCTGGCTAATCTGTACTTAGTTTATCTACCCAAGAGACTTTAGTAGTCACTAGCCTTAATGCATGTACAGTATATACTATTCACTGACTTAGTAGTAGTTTTTAATCCAAATGAAATTGGAATTTGCAAAATGACTTGGATTAATGGCGTCTGCCTAAGAGATCCTGCAGATGTGACATTAAATGATTCATGATTTTAGGCAGGAAAGGTTGAATTTTATGTAAATATCAGTGGATGAATTCCTTGATCTTTTTACTAGAAGATTTTTTAAAATTAAAAGATTGTTAAAGCAATAGGTTTTTTAACCCTCCTAAATTTTCTGGTGGGTCATGAGTTCATGGTAAAAGCTATATTAAGAACATCTCCCTCTGCAATATGCCTTGCCTTTACATAATCCTCTTAATGCTTAACATGTCAGAAAGAAATGTTTCTTTTTCACAGCGATATCAACATTTCCCTCTCCCATTCAGGGAGAATCCTGAAACTACAGAATAAAATCTCCTGGCACAATAGAAATATACACAATGCTTGAAGAATATGGACTTGTTAAGGTAACAACCGAAGTTTGGCTGGTGCAGATCTCACATGCCTCTCATTTTGGTATATTTTTGTTAGCATTTACATCACATATTCAAACACATCATGTTTTAAACTAAGGAATTAGTCCAATTTTTTTGTCTTAAAAAGGCCTGGTTGGTCTGACTGGTATCATAATTATAATTTTTAATTAGCTTATATACTGTGCACCAAGAGCTGGGAAGGCATGTAACCATAGAAAGATTTGTCAAAATGCTTTCAGAAAAGCATTTGGATAATCTTCTGTTTAGTCTGTCTCAAAAAATGCAGAACAACATCTCTCAGCCAATATAGTTAGCATGAAAATTTGGCTACTTTAATGTGTCTCATAAAGCTGCCGTTTGCCCTCAGTAAGGCCAAGACTCCATTTCCAGCATCACTGGTTGCTGTGCTGTAAATTGCTCATAAGGTTAATTAACAAACTGAGAAAGTCACTTCAGACCCTGTTTGTGCTAACCTGACTAAAGCTACATAGAGGAAAAACACTAAGATTTAGAGCATCCAGGGCTCTGTTGTTCTTTCAGAAGACCGGTTTTCCTCAGTGAGTCAGGTGGGATCCAGCTGGGGCTTCTTCTTTAAGTAATTGCTCTCCCTCCATTTGCTGTCAGGCTCTGTTGCTCTTGGTAGCCCACAAGTATACCTGCACTTTCAGAGGTGTTTGCTCCTTTGGCAGTGCAAGCTACCCTTTCAAACAGGGTGCTGGAGCACAGAGCAAGTTGCATAAAAGGCCTTGCTTTTGCCCCCTAAACCAGCAGCAAATACAGCAAGGCTCCCTTGCTTTTTCAATCTGTGGACTTGAATCTCATGCATTGTAGCTTGAAGAACAGCCTCATCCCTCCTGCCCTTGAAGGATTCCAGAGGGTCCAAGGAAAATAACAGAATTAGGGGGGAAAAAAGGGGGATTTCCTCTGTCCCAAGGCACTTATTCCTTTTTTGGGAGTGAATATAGTGAACAGCATGGATGATAAGGCACTCAGGTCTCATGTTTCTCATATGTACCAACACGGGGATACTTAACACTTATCTGCCTCATAAGGCTTTATGAAAATTAATTAATGTTTGCAAATCACTTTGTATCCTCAGAAGGAAAGTGCTGTAGAAGAGCTATGGAAAAAAGTGCTAAGTACACTGGATGAATTTTGCCCCTGAGTCCAGAGCTACAAGACCCTCAAAATCCTTAAGTACCGTGTAAGCTCTTGATGTAAGCACTAGAGTGAATAAAACTTCTGCTTAGTGCTGAGGGGAGTCACAGCCTAGGTGAAATTGCCATTCCCATAGTATCTATAACTTTGATCCTGGTAGAGAGCAAGAATTACAACCATACATAAGGGGACAAACAGCGTAGGTTAGCCAAGTGCTGCATGGCCATCAAAGAATTTCACATCTTTTTATGGCTTTCAGCACTTTGTATTTCTGCAGAAGAAATTTGTACTAAGTGCGTTTCTCATAACAGCCAAAGAAGTGTTCAAATATTTGTTATTCCAAATGCAGCTTCAAATAACTTCAAATCAATGGAAATTTTCTCTTAGAATGGTGCACTGCAGAGAGAACTAGTTGCTTAACAAAACATTAAAAAAAGGTCTTTCTCTCATAAGAAAATATGTGTCTGATGCACATTACGAGTATCTGAACTGGGAAGTCAGAGATGCGCTGGGAGCACAATATGGTAGTTACCTTCCCAAATCACACCATTGTTAGCCAGCATCCCCAGGTCAAACTCCCAGCTCTGTTCTGACACACTACACCTAAAAGTCATCAATAAAGCACTTCACCAACGATTCAACACCAGCTGAATCAACAAAATGTTTCTATTGCTGTTCATGTTATTCAGTCAATACTAACAAGTCCTTTCTTAGCACTAGATACCTTTTCTCTGCCAGTTGGCATTCTTAGATATGGAATTCTCACCCTGTCAACAGACATCGAAGGCAACACTTCCTGCAGGAACAAGTTAGATATACGTGATGATTACCAAAGGACAGGTCCTTCTTATTCTTTTTCTCAATTCCATTTTGGAATATATTTCTATTGAAAAAGGTTATTTTCATTTGCAGTTTAGATTTATCATAGAATATTACATGGGTTTGGGTTGAAAGGCACCTAGTTCCAGCCCCTCTGCCATGGACAGGGTCACCTTCCACCAGACCAGGTTGTTCAAAGCCCCATCCAACCTGGCCCTCAACGCTTCCACATATGTGGCATTCACAACTTCTCTGGGCAACCTGTTCCAGTGCCTCACCATCCTCATTGTAAAAAATTTCTTCCTTAGATCTAATCTAAATCTAACCTTTTTCAGTTGAACACTGTTGCCCCTTGTCCTGTCACTACAGGCCTTGGTAAAAAATCTTTCTCCAGCCTTCTTATAAACTCCCTTTTTGTATGAAAAGACCACAGTAAGATCTCCCCAGAACCTGCTCTTCTCCAGGCTGAACAAGTCCTGCTCCCTCAGCCTGTCTTTGTAGAAGAAGAGCTCCAGCCCTCTGATCATCTTCATGGCCTCCTCCGGACCTGCTCCAGCAGATCCATGTGTTTCCCATACGGAGGACCCAGAGCTGGACACGGTACTCCAGGTGGGGTCTCATGACAGCAGAGTAGAGGGGGAAAGTCACTTCCCTCAACCTGCTGGTCATGCTTTCTTGGCCTTCTGGGCTGCAAGTGCACATTGCTGGCTCGAGTCCAGCCTCTCATCCACTAGCACCCCCAAGTATTTCTCAGCAGGGCTGCTCTCAATCAGTACATCCCTCGTCTGTATTGACATTGGACTAACACAGATGCGGGACCTTCTGCTTGGCCTTATTGGACCTCATGAGGTTCACATGAGCCCTTTCCTTAAGTCTGTCGAGGTCCCTTTGGGGATCATCCTGCAGTTCTAAACATCCTCAACTCCATCTCCCAGCCTGGGCTTGTGACATGCAGGAGAGTTGAAATTAGTCACAGGAAAAAGGTGAAAGTCAGTGCAGAGCTAATCCAAGCAGCTCAGGACTTTTCTTCTTTCTTCTCATTCCCACCCCACCTGTGGGACTGGCAACCACCTCATCCCATTTTTCCTAGCAAGAGAATTCAGTTCCCTCTTGAGGAAGAGACAGTGGGTGCTGATGACTGCATGCACAATTTCTGACAGCTCTTCTCCTCTGCCTGGAAAGGCAGCAGATGGGAGAGACCATTAACCTGGGGAATGTGTTGGTGACTCAAATACCTTGTGTGAAACAGAAGTGCAGCTGGAGAGGTTCCAGCAGCATCTCCAGGCCCAGCACCTTGGCCTGACATTGTGTTCCCGATCTGCTTAAGTAAGCATTGCCATTTTATGGCCCCGCAGCAGAACAAGCAGGAGCTGTTGGTCTCACACCTGTGCAATGACCTTCTTTAGGCCATTGAGGATAAAAAATCAGCCTTGTTAAGTAGGAAAATAGGGTGAAAT